TCGGCCACGCCGCCGCGTGCTCGCACAGCGCAGGCGCCCGACGGTGAAGCACCACGCCGGCGTCGGTTTCGTCTTGTACCCGGGCAAAGCGTATGCAGAGAAGGGCAACAGCGTCCATACGTCTCCGACCATCAAGCGGAGCCGCGAGAAGCCTGAAATCATGGCTCCTCCTTCCTAGTGCAAAAGGGCTCCGGCTTTCCCAGATGCTCCCCCGGTGATGGTAGACAGTGGTGTTTGGTATGGCTCCTTCGGGAGCCGGAGCCCCTCCGGGAGCGGGGATTTTTCACTTTTACCATTATTACGGATGGCGCTTTCCGGTTTGGCACTCTTAGGGCTGATCTTTCAAGTTCATCACTCTTAAGATTGGTCTCTTGCCGTTTTACCACTTTTTCCGACGTGGCAGTCCAGACCGCCCTGACACGCTGGATCCGTGGCCGGGCCCACACAGGAAAAGACGACGCTGCCCCTGCCCTGGTTTCACTTGGCCAGAACGGGCCGGCCAGGCTGCTCGGCCCACTCATTCTCTCCTCGCCTCGCCCCTTCTCCCCCAGCGCGTGAGCCGCCGCCGCCGCCATCGTCTTCTTCCTCCGCCCGCTGCCGGCTGCCTCGCTTCCCAGCAACGGCGACCTGGTACCATTGTCCTTGGTGGCCTCCGGTTCAACCCGCCCCGACGGATCAAGGTATGTGCCCTTACTCTTCTTTGCCACCCCGGCACCGCGTGGTTAAGGTCGCTGACCTCGTCTTCCTCGTAGGCCTTTGATGTAGTACGTCGTCATCTCCCCCCGTCCGCAATGGCCGATTCTGACTGCCCTCCTTGGTATGCACTGGCACTCCCGTCCCCGTCCATCGTAGGCCTTTGAATGTATTTGCTTATCTGTTTTGATTGTTTATCATGATGCTAGGATCGATCCTGGCAGTGCGTTTAGGCTAGTTGTTAAGGTTTCTCGATATGTTGCTGATGGCGAATATGGGCTAGTGGACATGTCAGAGCAGCACCATCACATCTGGTTTGATAGGGACAGTTCTTACTCTCTGGCTCAGTTCCATGAGGATTTAAGCTCAAAGATCATTTGGGGGCCTCTTCAAACACTTTCAGTGTGGGTTGTAGATCAGGATACTGGCTCTGAGTGGCGACTTAGGAGGGATGAGCATGTGCAGCAAATGGTCAAGGATAGATGGGCTGACAGATTGGCTTTTCTTAATGTGGAAGTTGTGAACAAAAATCTGTGCAATGACAATGATAGCTCTGCTGCATCTAAGGGAGGTAGGTGTGTCTCTGGTGTGACTAGTGGCAATGAACCAAACACAGAACCTGTAGATGTTGAGGGTTTTGGTGATACCTGCAGCACCCCAACTCCTCCTCCTGAAGTGCCAGTAGCAATTGATTGGACTACTCTAGTCATACAAGAGAAGCCTGATGATGATGGTACTGCTACACAGCTTGTTGATGAGGAACAGATATATGAGGCTATGGGGTTCCAGCAGGCTGAGGCAACACAAGAACAAGGTGGTACAGAAGAGGTACCAATTCCAGCAATCCCTCCTGAAGTGCAGCAAGAAATGAATGAAGCTGCTGTGGATGTTGATGATACAGCTGATGAGGAGCCTTTGTATGAATGGGACAGGGACAATCCTGATATGAGTGTTGGCATTTGCTATCCTAATATTGATGAATTGAGGCTAGCTGTTAGGCAACATGCTATAAAAAAAGAGTTTGAGCTGCAAACTGAACACTCAGATAGAGATAGATACAGGGTTAGATGTGGTGCTCGTGGCTGTCCATGGAGACTTGTGGGTAAAACCCAGCATGATGGAAGTTGCAGGGTACATTTTCTGCAGTGACTTGCTTACTGATATGGTTATTATTGCTGGTTTCTTACTGATCTTAGTTCATTATGGTCTGTCCAACAGTTCCTAACTATAATGTACCATGTTTTCTATTTTTTGCAGATTCAAATAAATACTGGGGGGCACAAGTGTGCATCTACAACAAGGGTTGAGGACATAACAATGGCCAATATCAAATGGGTAGCAGAAAGGGCAGTTCAATTCTTAAAGAAGAAGCCAGGAATGGGGGCTACAGAAATGAAGAAAGAGTTGAAGTTCAAGTATGGGATTGATGTCAACTACCACACAGTGTACAAAGGGACAAAGAGAGCATCTGACAAGTTATTTGGTAAGATCAGTGATTCTTTTGATTGGTTGTATAGGTTTAAGGCTGAAATTGAATTGAGATCACCTGGTAGTGTGGTAGAGATAGACACTACAACTGATGAAGAAGGCAAAGTTAGGTTCAGTAGATTTTTCTGTGCATTCAAAGCATGTATAGATGGATTTGTGAATGGCTGCAGGCCTTATATTAGTATGGACTCAATGACCTTGAATGGCATGTGGAATGGCCACATGCAAGTGACCTTTAACTTTAGATGGACACAATTGGATGTTTCCTCTTGCATTTGGGTTCTTTGAATCAGAAACAAAGGACAATTGGGTTTGGTTCATGCAACAACTTAGAAAAGCAATTGGACCAATGGATCCTCTAGCCATCTGTACAGATGCATGCAAGGGGTTAGAGTCTGCTGTAAAGCTGGTTTTTCCTCAAGCAGAGATGAGAGAGTGTTTCAGGCATTTAATGGAGAACATGAAGAAGTACTATAGTGGTGATGTATATGGCAAGAACATGTGGCTGCTGAGCTAGAGCATACTCTCCACACAAGCACAAGTATTTTTTGACAAGGTGTTGGCAAGCAAGCCAAGGAGTGCTGAAGTGGTTGGATGAGCACCATCCATTTCTTTGGGCAAGAAGTAAGTTTTCACCGACATCAAGTGTGACTACATAAACAACAATCTATTTGAAAGTTGGAATTCTTGGATCAAGGAGCATAAGGACCTGCCTCTGCATTGCATGGCAGATGCTATAAGGGAGAAGATAATGGTGTTGTTTGGCAAAAGAAGGAAGATTTCTCTAGCCTTGCCTCAGGGTATATTACCTGTTGTCATTCTTCAATTTGAATGTTGCCTCTAGGGACTGGGACACATGAACATTACAAAAGGTCACCCAACTGAAAAGTGAAGTGTGAGAGGTTTACAAAGATGAAGATGTAAGGAGACATGTTGTATACTTACCTCGGAAAATTTGCACTTGTAGGCGATGGCGACTAATGGTAAACCATGTCCACATGCACTGACTGTAATTACAAGCATGAGGCAGCCTGACATGGGCTCATATGTGGACAATTGCTACTCGGTGGCTAAGTTCCAAGCGACTTATCTTTGGAATAATACCAAGCATAAGCTGATAGGAATCGAGTGGCTGAAGATAAGAAGGGCTACAAAGTGCATGCTCCAGTCTGTAAAGAGAAGAAAAAAAGCACGGAAGGTTGAGGATAAATAGGATTAAACCGGCAAGAGTGAGACAGGAGGCAGAGCTACTAGGCAAGTGCAGTGCCCAAACTGTAAGGAGTATGGTCACAGGGCTACTAGCTCCAAGTGTCCCCTCAATGGGACTAAGAAAAGGTGCCCTCTCACTGTAAGATGTAACATGCATTAACCTTTTATTTTCTGTCTAAACTAACAAGTGCTTATTAACTTATGCAGGAAAAGAACTAAGAAGAAGATTGCCAAGGTTGGGAGGAAGAAGACCAAGACAAGTGCAGATGGTGATGATGCACCCACTCCAAGGACAAGGGAGCAGCTGGCTGGGGAGGCAAAGCAGAAAAGAGCAAGGAGGGATGAAGAAGAAGCTGAACTACTTGCAGCAGCAGCAAGGGAAAAGGCAGAAGCAGCAGCTAGGGAATTAGCTGAGGCTACTACAAATGAATATGAAGCAGCATTTGAAGAAGAAGCGAAACATCACTTGATCCCTTTAGCCCATTGTTGCCCCGGATCCATCTATAGGCTGCAAAGAACAAAGAAGAAGGTGATCATGCAATCTTGTTTAGGCTCTTGATTGGAACTATTCCGACCATAAATCTTCTTTGTGAGTTTTGTTCCATGACAGGGCACTTTTCCTAGAAGAAGAGCTACATCTTTGGACTGTGAAGAAAATGACACCCAAAAAGAAGAAGTTGGCAACCAAAGCGAAGAAAACTCTACCCGACTAAGAAGAAAGGAGGCAATTGGAATGGCAAGGGCAAGGCGGGGCCAAGTGACCAATCCTGTTATTTTGAACTTTGTGTGAAGTACTTTGTCATGTAATCTGTGTTATGGGCACAAAATTGATAGCATTTGGCCCTATTTGGATGTGAAAAACATCAAAATCATGAACTTATGTAATGGCTCTTAGTTAGCCACTATCTAATGCCAGGATCATGAACTTATGTAATGCCTATGTGCATTATTGCTCTAGTCTGTTTATTTGTTGTTGTTTTCAATGATCCTTGGTGTCATTCATAATATGCTAATTTTGCCATCTCCAAATTGTTGCTGTCATTAACCAAGAACAATCACAAAATGATAAAGGACTGCAACTGATCATTCACATATTATGAATGAGTGGGCCGAAGCGACTGGCGGCCCGTTACGCCAAGTGAAACCGTAGGGCGGGCGGCGTCGTCTTTTTCTGTGTGGGCGGCCACTTGATCCGGCGTGTCGGTGATGCAGGACTGCCACGTCGGAAAAAAGTGGTAAAAGCGGCAAGAGGCCAATCTTAAGAGTGATGGACTTGAAAGACCAGCCCTAAGAGTGCCAAACCGGAAAGCGCCATCCGTAATAATGGTAAAAGTGAAAAATCCCCTCCGGGAGCCATACCAAACAGGCACTTCATCTATTGGGCTGGGCTACTCATGTGGGTGGAGGAATGCCGTTGGATGAAGATTGGGTGGCAGATCGGTGTCAGAGAATCCGTGAGCCGGCCGCGCGCCCTCCAGACGACGCCGACGCCGGCCGCCCCCGCCACCCCCCAACCCTTCCTCTCCCATCGACGGCCGCCCCGGCTCACCCCTTCATCTCCCCACGCCGGCCATACTCTAGGCCGACCTCCCACCTCGCCGCCGCTAGCCATGGCGATCACAGCGCCAACTCCCGACATCCTCGGCGAGCGCCAGTCCGGCCAGGACGTCCGCGCGCAGAACGGTAACCGCTCCCACCCCTCTCTTGCCACCAGATTCCACGGCGGCGTGCGGGGGTTTGTGAGATCTAGTGGCCCGAGTAGCCATTTGACTGCGCACTGGTTTAGTTACTGTTTTTGCTTGTTTGATCGCTTTGATCGCAGTGATGGCGTGCGGGGCGGTAGCCAACATCGTCAAACCATCGCTCGTCCCCGTCGGTCTCGACAAGGTATATGTACCTTCCACTCTGATCTATATTTAGGTTATGTTTGGCAGTACCGTATTCGTTTTCAGGTGTAAACCATCTCTGCCTGTAATTTGCTTTGCTGCGCACACTGCACAAAGATACTGTCGCTATCTTTTACACTTGGAAAATGTTGTTTGGGTAAAATGCTTCCGCTTGCTGCTTGCATGGTTGCATCTGTGCTGTGCTTGCATCTCAAAAGCACAAAATCATTTTCTAAGCAGGTTGCATTGCAGTTGCAGCTGCGACACGTCTCACCATCAAATTTAGATTAAACATAGATTAAAATACAAAATTCCGTAAGCACAAAACACACATCTGATATAGGAACTTATCATCAGTAACTAGGCATGTCACTGCTCAAGTTCAGAAACAAGTGCCATCACCCATCCGAGAAAGTACAGGGTTGCTTTAGCCCAAATGACACCTCAGAATCTCAGATCAGTTTGCAACTGCTGCAAGTCTGAACCACCAAGTTCAAATATAAAAATATAGCCAACAATAAGCACAACTCTTACACAAGGAAACAACATAGTTAGATGCCGACCAGAGAATAATACTTAAATAGAACTTCTCCAAAGATCACACAAGGTCATAATCTTGCAAGATCGTCACATGTTTTGCAGCCACTAACCTGCAACGCAGAGCTATAAATTTGAGTGTGAAAATTGCAAATAAATAATAAATTTCATAGAGATTGCAGTCCATCCAAATAAGAATAGATGGATGGACGATAGAATAACCTATTCATTCCTTTGGTCAGCTACAAACCACAAAGTCTTGTTTCATAGCCTAGAAATGTTTTAAAAACCTAGGATGTGAAATGCTGAGCTCCTAAATTGATTGGTACAACTCGCAAAAGATGTGCAATGCAGTAATAAATTAATTAAAATGACAGTACTGCAATTTTCATTGATGCATCATGCATTATCTCATCCCAAATTGCATCTATCCCAACTTTCCAAGCCCAAGCATTACAATTCATAGACCTAATGGAATGGTATGGTCGGCTGAATACATTTCTGTCTCTGCTAAGAATGTGCAGGAGGCCTTTCACCTGCTATGGGGTAGGAAATGGAACAAAGTGGAAGGTTGCTGCAAGCTAATATTTCAACTGATCAGAAGCTGGTTTTGTCGAAACCTTCAGCTGTGGAGAAAGCTGCAGATGGAAGAGCTGAAATGATGGAGAAGGTCAAAGATGCACCTGATGTAACGAATCAATAGGACAAAAGGTGTGATCAGCATGTGAAAAAGAAAAAGAAAGAGAAAGACGGAAACAAGAGAACAAAAGATATTGAAAATGAGTGAAAGGATGTAGCTGCACAACTCTCTTCTGTGAAGCGAGAAGCCATAAATATTGAAAAGGCTGAAAGGCTCCATAAGGATGAGAAGATCAATGGCAAAACAACTGGCTCAGCGATCTTCAGTCAGTCCCATGACTGCTATGAGAATGACACACCTTCTAGGAAGTCACCTCACTCTGACTGCAAGTATCTTAGCCAGATATACAGCATTCATGAATCACCTCAATTGATGTAACGGCGTAGGCAACAATCAGCACATGCAGTACAGGTTGCTGAAGAAAGGAGCGGAGTTAAAAGTGCAAGCACTCCTATAGACAATGAATGAGTTGGCAATGATCAGTTGCTCCTGCGAGCTCCATAGTGTGCTGTGTGTGCTTCTCTCATCCTATGTGGCCAAATCAAAAGTGTTGCTACATGTAATGGAACCAAGGTACAGATGGATAGGAATCAGATGATCCCCAGTTAGGCTGCAATGAATTTTTCTCTGCATCAGATCTCTATAAATATGATACATGTAGCAAACAAATCATCTATTTTGTTCTCATCCCATCTATCTTGTCAGGAACTTCTAGTTTTTACGAAATGAATTATATTCTCCCAACAAATCAAAAGTAGCAATTTTGATGCCCAACTCCACTCCTGCCCAACTTACCTACAATGAATAGCAACCTTTCTCCTGCCCAATGATGATTAATTTGAAACATCGATCAACTAGCTAGTGCTGTTGTTCTCAAACGAAAGGGCAAACAGAACAACTTTCCATGCTGTAGATGTGGCGCAAGACTAACTTCAAAAGAAGAGAAACACAAAGGAGATGGGTACCTGAATCAATTCGCGCCATGGATTTGTGCGCAGCTGCAGTCGATTTGCCGCTCGGCGGTCATGAATTCACTTCCCGCTGATGGCACCAGGAAACCCTTGGAGCCGTCTCCACCGGCGTGGGCGAGTAGCGAGAAGGGGTGGGTTGAGAGTGGGGGGGAGGGGGGGGGGTGTATCTCGCCGATTTGGGTCGGAAAAAATGGCAGGCCTGTAACTTACTAGTGTTTCGGCCCGATTACCGGGCTTCCAAACAGGCCCTGAGTGTTTTGTTTACATATCTCGCCCGCAGCCTTTGGTGAATCCAAATTTTATGTTTGTATAAATTGCTGCATGGTCCATATTGCTAGAATTTTATTTCCGCTCTTCTAATTTTAGCTTACTGTGCTGAAGATGCTGTGGATTTGAAAACGTAGTTAGCTGGGTTATGCCTTACAACATATTGGCTGATTAGTTCATAGAATGTATTCAGTGTCATCACAATTTTAAAGAAAAATTCTAACAAACGTGGAAAAACACCCATACATAAGAGCATGAGTCTATGATGTATGCTCTGTACTCTAATCAGGAGAAACGAAAACTAATTCAGCACATTCTGCTTACAGATGCTAGTGGATGATATTGGTAATGTTACAGTCACTAATGACGGAGCAACGATACTTAAGATGTTGGAAGTTGAGCACCCAGCTGCCAAGGTGATTTCTGTCAGCGAAGTCTGAAAAAAAATGTTTTTATTGCTTCTTTGTGTTTATATTCTTTTTTATATCAATTTCTAGGTTCTTGTTGAGCTGGCTGAGCTCCAAGACCGTGAAGAAGGAGATGGAACAACTTCAGTTGTAATCATTGCAGCGGAGTTGCTCAAGGTAATTAATGTTCCGCTTTTCTCACAATTGTGAATTGCCATACCAGTTTTTGGATGCACATGCACTAACATAGTTTTGTTTCTTATTGTCAGAGAGGCAATGATCTTGTGAAGAATAAGATCCATCCAACTTCTATAATCAGTGGCTACAGGGTGCGTTTTCAAGTCTCGTTGTAGCTGTAGTAACATTTGAATTTTAGATCATTTCAGTAGCAAGATGACTCTACCTTACCTTTCTGGCATGCTTTTCTTAGCTTGCTATGCGTGAAGCCTGCAGATATGTTGAGGAAAAGTTGGCAGTCAAGGTAAGAGAATGTTGTCTTTTGAGGAAATACTGGAAGAATGCTGCCTCATTCCATGCTTATTGCCATACTGATTTGAATAGTCATCTACACTTTCAGGTTGACAAACTTGGAAAAGACTCCCTTATCAACTCTGCAAAAACTAGCATGTCTTCAAAGTTGATTAATAGTGACGGTGAATTATTTGCAACTCTGGTATGATCTAATGTTCTATTGTCATTTTGTCTTTAGGTTACCTAGAACTAGGTGATCCTTTGGTTGGTTCGTTTAGCCCTGTTGTTTTGTATACACAGGGTATTGCTTTTGGTTTGCATGCGTGAGTGTGAATACTAACTGTAAAGTCCTTTGGAACTTGATTTTAGTTGTAGGTTTGTTTTAATTGTATTTATTTAATGTTTAGTAAATAATGTCTTTACTGGTGCTCTGATTTGTGCTTTTATAGTTCTGTAGAGATCTTTAATTATGTTCTGTTGTGTTTTCTAACTGACAGTTTGTTTATCCCAGGAGCTTACTATTGGGGTTTGAACTATCTTTCTGTTAGCATTGCTTTAAACAATCTGATGTAAACTTGTCCTGACATTGGTTTCTTAGGTTGTTGTGGCAGTTCAAGCTGTGAAGACTACAAATGCCAAGGGAGAAGTGAAATATCCAATCAAGGTCAGTCAAAAACATTTGGTTCTAGCACTGCTCCACTAAATCTATTCTACCATGAGGATTTACTTTATGTTCATAAGGCATCTCTATGGTTTCCTTTTTGATCCATTCACTTCCCACTCTTACTACTACTACTTTGTACTGGTCCTTGTTGCCTATATCTCTGTTTGGATAATGTCCTGCAATAATATTCAACTTCATGTTACACACAACCAGGGCAGGTACTGCCTGGGCAGTACACCCCACCCCCAGCGTGTGTACCTCAAGTAAATCTATACGTGCATTATTGCTGAAAGGCAGCTAGTTAGGTAGACTGAAGTACATCAGCGTGTAGCCTACAAAACATACGAGGTACAAAGCGCACCCACCTTCTTGTCCTGGCTCTGCCCTTGCCTACAACAACAGCCACCTAACACCGTCTTTAATATCTTTGGACCCCTAGGTGGCTGTTGCCACGCTGATGAGTGATGACTATAGATCAATGTCTTTGATGATGGACTGCTCAGTGCATGGGCAACAACTTCTAAAACATGGATTAATGTTCTCTTTAATCTCCTTGGTTTTGTGTTAACTATTCTTATCATTGGGCTTTTTCGTAAATTTAGCTTGTAACTATGGTATTATTATCTGATCTGCAGAGCATCAATATTTTGAAAGCTCATGGTAAAAGCACCAAGGATAGTTACCTGCTGAATGGCTATGCACTAAACACAGGCCGTGCAGCTCAAGGAATGCCTATTAGAGTAACTCCTGCTAGAATTGCTTGTCTTGATTTTAACCTTCAGAAGACAAATGCAACTTGGTGTCCAAGTTCTCGTAACTGATCCTAGGGAACTCGAGAAGATTCGTCAGAGGTATTTGCAATTCTGTGTTCTGATACTTTACAATTCCTTTGTTTATTTCTGATAGAATCAGCACTGTGAACACACAATCTATATATCTTCTTGAATGTTACTTGTTTCTAATTTGTTAGGCTAGATCTCTACCTTTTTTTTTTTGACTAGCAATTCATTGATTCATTCTATTTTGAGGTCTCAAATGGTGATCCCTATTACTTGCTCTTTTTGTCAGAGAATCTGACATAACAAAGGAGCGAATTGAGAAAATTCTCAAGGCTGGAGCTAATGTTGTGTTGACCACTAAGAGAATTGACGATATGTCCTTGAAGGTATGTTTTTCATTATTTAGGCAGAAGTGATTCTGTTGTATTTCCTATTTATAGTTGTCTGGCACCAAATCTTTTTTTTAGTTGCTCTGGTTAGATTTCCAACAGAATGGCACATTTTGCATTCGTAGTAGTAATTTTGGATGTCTGATGCATTATCCTTTTGCATGACAATGTAGTATGTTTCACTTAACTAATTCTTGTAAAACTTACCAGAGTTTCACTTCCATATTTCTGTCTTCTTGCTTTCCTTGGTTCATGTGATTTTTGAGATCTCAAAATGAAGCTTCTCTTCCATGATTTAAATTGATTCTGATGATGCCATTTTAACATCTATTAGGAATTTCTGATCTTTCTATGTTAATATTTGTACATAGACATCTCATTCTGATATGATGTCAAACATATTTCAGTACTTTGTTGAGGCTGGAACAATTGCAGTAAGGCGCGTGCGCAAGGAAGATTTGCGCCATGTTGCCAAAGCCAACTATGGTATGCTTATACATGACAAAAATTGGAAAAAAAAAATACTGGCAGAACTTCTATTCTTGAGGTTCTGTAGAAGTAATGCAGAAGATTCTATTTAACTAAAATCTTGATGCTGTTTGGCTGTGCATTATTAGTATTGTAGGTGGCTTAATAAGTGAACCTTTCAGGTGACTACTTTTGCGGACATGGAAGGTGAAGAAACATTTGATTCATCATTCCTTGGACATGCTGATGAAGTTGTGGAGGAAAGGATTGCTGACGATGATGTTATTCTGGTGAAAGGCACAAAGAACACTAGTGCGGTTTGTACCTTTTCCGGACCAATTTTATGCAAGTTTACTATAAGAGACAAATTTAATTTGGAGATAATTACATAGTGCTTGGTTTTCTATTGTGCAGGTTTCCATAATACTTAGAGGCGCAAATGACTTCATGCTTGATGAGATTGACCGGTCCTTGCATGATGCTTTGTGCATTGTGAAGAGAACCCTGGAATCAAATATGGTAATTCTTTTTGCTTCCATTCTTTTATGTGTTGGATTGGATACCTGCAACTGAATTAGTGAACGCTTAGTGACAACTTTCACTGTTCTTCTATGGCTTTTGCATTGAGGACTTTACATGCCTGGAGAAAGCTTACAGTTCAAAATGCAATTTGCTTTTATTTGAGTGGAAATACTAATTGTTAGTATCATTGATGGTGCTAGTGTCTTCAACATGTTTGTATTGGCTATGTAGGTTGTTGCTGGCGGTGGTGCAGTTGAAGCTGCGTTGTCAGTTTACTTGGAGAACCTTGCAACGACCCTGGGCTCTCGGGAACAATTGGCAATTGCTGAATCTTTGTTAATCATACCAAAGGTTTTGATCTGTTCTATTTTACTTACATTTACCTTTTTCACCAATCAACATAGCATATTAATGACCTGACCTTGCACCAACAGGTACTCTTTGTTAATGCTGCAAAAGATGCAACTGAGCTTGTAGCAAAGCTTAGGGCATATCATCATACTGCTCAAACAAAAGCCGATAAGCAACATTATTCAAGGTAATGAACTAATGACATAACATGTCTTCAGTTTATTTGATCAATAGAGTCCTGATTCTTGTGTTTCATTTCTAAAGTTCTGTGGAAGCATGTTTCTTTCTATTTCCTTTGAAAGTTTTCTAGGTATGCTATTATGTACTATTTAGCCTGCCATTAGGAAAAAAATGTCCTTCCTCAATATTTGTGTGGCTAAACAATATCATCTCACTGTCTTGTGCTGTGCTAAGCTCCCTAAAGATCCTTACATTGAACTTTGTTTTATAATTATCATCAACATGCTAAACTTTTTTCACTTGGACGAATTTTAGAAACCTCGTATAATTCCTTTTTCCGTAAGTGGTTCTAGGTGTGATTTACTTCTGCTACCTGTGCTGTGATTGCCATTAAGTTTACTTCCTTGGTGTGCAGTATGGGTCTTGACCTCTCTAAAGGTATCATTCGCAACAACCTTGAATATGGAGTGATAGAGCCATCGATGAGCAAAGTAAAGATTATTCAGGTTGGGCCTCTTGTTTCTTTTTCGTCATGGTATTTGTGATGTATGAGTTCTGTTCCATCATCTTTGACGTTCCTGTTGCAGTTTGCCACCGAGGCTGCCATTACTATCCTGAGGATTGACGACATGATCAAGCTTACTAAGGAAGAGGCTGCCATTACTATCCTGAGGATTGACGACATGATCAAGCTTACTAAGGAAGAGGGTAACGAAGAAGAGTAAGCAGCCCAGCTGTAGGAGGTGGACGGGTAGTGGACTCTTGTGTGATGGTTGTCATAGCGTTTAACATTTGATTTTCATTTTTCGTTTAGCCCTTGCTTAGCTGTGGACATTCGTATAGGGGTGCTGTAGTAAAACCGAGAATGGATGTGTATCAGTCTATCCCTGTAAGCTGACGTTATTTAAAGGACAACTCACGAATGGATCAAATTTTTTTGAATATTGGGGCCAAAATAGTTCTAAGTTGTAAATTATGGCCCCCTTTGGTGCAGCTCCGGGCGGCTCCGGCTCCTCCTCTCATTTCCTGTAGCATCACTGTTTGTACTGTACTAAGGAGCCATTTCACTTCCCGAGAAGAAAAATGAACTAGAAAGGGAAGGAGCCAGAGAAGCCACGATTTGAAGCTTCACTGGCTCCATGCTACAGTGTTGTACAGTGGAGGAGCCGGAGCATCAAAGAGCTGTGCCAAACAGCCCCTGTTAGGCTGGTTGGCGCGTTAGCGTCAGGCCACACCATGCCTAGGAAGGAAATTGAGGTGCTGTTTCACGCGCTGAGGTTGGCTACTGTAGTATAGCTTACTGCCTTACTGGCTGGTATCATTGTGACGCGCGCTAGGGGCCCGGGTGGCCGGCCGGTCTCGGTGGAGCTGGTTCGCTCGTGCTCGTTGGCTTTTCTGTTGACTGGGAAGTGGGAACTTATGCGGAACACTGAACAAATTCAGTATAACGAAAATCAATGCCTGCTCGCAGTTTTATAGCGCTAGTATATTTGTTGCGAACAAGCCAAAATTCTGTGGTACCGTAGTTTACAAAAGAAGCCGGCGCAGTAGCATATTTAAGTTGCAGAAAAAACAGAGGCTTCAGGTTTCAACCGTGTTATAAAGACAACTGGACGGCGCTATTTTCGCAGCATACTTGCATATGCAGATCCATCAGGACCGTATACGGGGAACAAACGAACAAGCGGTTCATCGAAGGATTCTATACTTAACTAATGAACCACCTAAAGATGATATGTGAATTTATAGCGACGAGTGTACGTGCATGTACGAGTATTGTGCATATATAAGAAATATAATATGCACGAAAGTTCACTAAGGACTTTTGTGCCAGCATTGGTGAGGCAATTCTAGTTTCTCAGTCTTTCGAATCCACGCGATTTATTGATTGGTTCCTCGTATTAATATTGTATTGCGTTAGAGTCTATACAATATACCCTTAACTTGAATAAGACAATATAATTTGTTGTTGTTCGATTCACCTAGATAAAAAATTATATAATCTTACACCAGTGATTTTGGTTGGGCTGTAGAGCGGGTGCAGGAGTGAGGGGTGCATAACTGGATACGTAGGGTGGCTCATGTGGCTGGCCATGCTCATCTGGTGCAACAACTCCTGTTTGATTGCCTGTACGAAACTAAGCGGGTGGGACATTGTTTGGTAGACTGCACAAATGAATTTGGCTCCCTTGCATCAACCCATGGTAGAGTTACCCCTGCCATTTGCACAAACACCTTGCATACATGGTAGTGCAGCTCTGCTCTTCCCCATGTGAGGACGAGGAGGGAGAGATGTTGCTGCTAGGATTAGCCACGGGCTGCTCCTTCCTCGCCGTCACCGGACGTGAGGACCACGAGGTGGCCGTCCGGCTTCATAATCTATGCCGCCTCGGTGGCGAGGTCGGCCTGGCGTTTGGAGGAGTCGAGGGCGCGTTCGGCGAAGATGAAGTCGACGGAGGAGTTCCGGAAGGGGAGTTGGTGGTCGCTTCCCGCCTGCCTAGAGGGGCGGGGACCGCTTCTCGGCGACCGCGACGGCGCCGAACACGCCGAGCTCCCGCAGCACCATCGCCTCCTGGGCACCGCCGAGGCAGACGGCGTGGGAGGACGCGGAGAGCATGCCGTCAGCGAGGTGTCTTCGGAGGACGGCGGCATGGTGGTCCACGGCTCGCCTCCACTCGCGGCTGCGCCACGCATCCGGTGACCTGACGGCCGCCTGGGCGTGAGTCCTCCTGGCCACGGCGAATTAGGCTTGATTTCAGCGGAAGCTCCACCGCCTTCAGGGAGCTCTGTCGGGAAGCAGCGTCGGGCACTGCCCATGGAGGTGGGGAGATGGATTCGCCGTCGGGTAGCTGACGCAGGACGGCGGCGCTGCCCATGGCAAGGTGGGGAGGGGGCGATGCGGGTTCGGGATTGAGGGGAGATAGCGAACCAGAGGTGACAGTAACAGCCCCTCGTGGCTGCAGCGAGCCTGGCTCCGGAGAAACGAGAATAATTTTCCTTCCTCCGGAGTCCGGATGGAGCATCTTCGCTGCTTCGACGACCGTGCGGGGCTGGCTCGTGGGCTCGTCCAGCAATCAAACAGTCCAAGTTGCACCCCTGGGGCACGGTGGTCCATTTGGTATAGGCAAATAAACGCATCTTTAATATTTGGCCCAATAGTGGGATGCAGTCTGTAGCATTCAAATTTCGTACTCAAATATAAAGAATTCTAGGATACATAAATCAGTTTTGTATTAAATACTTTTTATTTATCAATCAGTCACTATTAATCATGTTGATGATAGCGTCTGATTAGGAAATAAAAAGTTAAGGTACATACGTTAATCTGTTCTAAAATTTCTAAAATGCATTATATTATAGGACAGATGGAGTAGACTTATACCAGTAACCAAACAGGAACGGATTGTTCTAGGGCTGGATAAAGGGTTATATAGACAATCATTTAGACCCGATACATAAAATACACTATAGTACGAACAATGATGAGATCAGTAGCAAGTCACCTTTTGACAAACGCAGCACATATTTAATAAATCAAAGCAATAACAATTTGCCCAAATGTCTAAGTGTACCAGTTCAACTTCTTGAATTGTAACACATTACACATGCTCAACCGACGCGAACTACCTTGTGTTATTTGTTTATCCAAGACTCAAGAATTGACCGCAGCATATGAGGTTATGAGCCACGTTCATTCCCGATACTGCATGTGCACGTAATTTTTAAGTCGTGACCCCTAAACCATCCTACTACTACATATAACACCCAAATCGAGCTTAAGAGACCACAAAACAAGCCTAGCTCCACTACGCATCGATACAGTTAGCTAGGACTAGGAGTAAGTCTCGCCCTCTCGATCAACAAGGAGGAGATAATCAATGGTTACTCCAGTTACATTCCAAGATGCCGTATTCGCGGTGCTGCCAATCCTGACACTTCTTGTAAGCCCCGTCCCCTGCTATGGGCATCCGAGGTCCGTGTCTCTTCGCAACCACACTACCAGCCGGTACACCTCAACGCCAGCCAGAGCCGCCGACCGATGGTACTCCGGCGGCGCGACGTGGTACGGGAGCCCTTACGGCGCCGGCAGCGACGGTAAGTATCACATTGATCAATATGTAATGCAGTGAATCGTAGCAGTACTGGACTAGAAGAAATCATATTAAATAAGCTTAATCCTGCAACTGAATGTTGATGATCTCGTTGCATGCAGGCGGTGCGTGCGGTTATCAAGGCACCGTCAGCCAACGCCCGTTCTCGTCGATGATCGCCGCCGGCGGTCCTTCCCTTTTCAAGAACGGCAATGGCTGCGGCGCATGCTATCAGGTTAGTACTTGTGACTTGCGAAGTGTTGTGTGGCGTGTAGTGCGTACGTACATTCGTCTTCTTAACCACTGATACAAGTGTTGTCTGTACTGCTGTACGAATACGAAGATCAAGTGCACCGGCAACAAAATCTGCTCCGGGTGGCCAGTGACTGTTACTATCACCGACTCCTGCCCCGGTGGGGTCTGCCTCGCCAGGACGGCGCACTTTGACATGAGTGGCACGGCCTTTGGCGCCATGGCCAACCGCGGGATGGCGGACCGCCTCCGCGCCACTGGAATCCTCAAGATCCAATACAGGAGGTGCTGTTGAGTTTGAAGTTTTAACTGACCATTCTAGTGAAATCAAGCTGTGCACGCGTGTGACGATCGAAGCTACTACCTTTATTCTCGCAGGGTGTCGTGCAACTACAATGGCATGGGAATTGCCTTCAAAGTGGACCGGGGCTCCAACCCGTTCTACCTCGCCGTGCTGATCCAGTACCAGAACGGCGACGGTGACCTCGCCGCGGTGCACATCATGCAGCAGGGCGGCGCGTGGGCGCCGATGCAGCACTCGTGGGGCGCCATGTGGCGCACCAACTCGAACACCGGCAAGCCGCTGCGCGCCCCATTCTCGGTCCGACTCATCTCCGGCTCAGGCAAGGTGCTCGTCGTCGGGAACGCCATCCCCGCCGGTTGGCGCGCCGGTATGACATACTGGTCAACGGTGAACTACGCCACCTAATAAGCCATTGGTGTAGAGGGATTAGGTTAATGCTGCGGCAATTGTCAAAAGTAATTGGTCACGTGTGTGACTGAAATTCCAGACTTTGTAAATTTTCTTCCCCTGTAGCCTATAGCCGGTATGGCCATTTGCACTTCTCCAGTCGTTGGTGCAGTGTCAGTCTTATTTGATAACAAGTGCAGCTCGGCGGTAGGGGTCTTGGCATCAAGCAGCATCTATATATCTTGTTATAAATCTACAGTAGCAGCTTCCTTGTAATCTTTTTTATTTTCGGGATGCTGGCGCTCGGACGTCCTGAGCCCACGCCTGCTCCCTATAGCACGCCTCTCCGTTTCCCACACCTCCTTCGTTTCCCTGCGCCCGCATCGCCCGGACGCCTCGCTCTGCTCGTGCCGTCTGCTCACATACGGGGACCGCCCGCTTCCGCTCTATCGCAGAGCGGGCACCGCCTGCAGTTGCACCCGCTTCCCGCGCCTGCTTCGTATCGCGCTCGCACCCCCGCCTGCGGATGTGCGCCGCGTGACTCCGGCCATCCCATCCAACACTTAGAAACATGAAAACACTTGCAACATGAAACACTTGCTGCAACATATGTCTGAAACAACTGAAACATTTGGAACATACGCTTGCCACATATGTGTGAAATATATGCAATATTCAAATAAAACACTTGCAACGTACGTCTAAGTTAGATGAAACATTTCAAACAAATGCTTGTAACATAAGTGTATAGCCATTGCAACATGTGTAACATCTGGATCTACTTTTGCAACATCCATATATGAAACACTCGCAACATACC